TAACGAAATCCAAGTTGATGCGATGTGCGTCAGAAAAAGAGGAAAAAGATTTTGTTTGGCTAAAAAGCTGTTGTTTTTCGATGAGATACACTCTCAATTGGGCTTAAGCTATGTAGTACGATAGAACGACTGAATCAAGTTTAGTTTAGAATGAACTGACTACACAAGAGGAAATTCGTGGAGCGAAATGACCACGCTGCATAGGGAACAAGAGTAAACATGGTTTCCGAAGTCCACGGTAAGCTATAAGATCGATGGATTTGGCGCGAACCTGCTTCCAGAATGTTCGCGACAATCCATATCCACATTGCTCAAGTTTTACATGCATGGGCGAACTCTACAATGTTTGCGATAAGATCGATGGTACTGCCGTGACTTTGCCAATTTCAAAAAGCGCTTGACCGATTGGGTTTGAAACAACCTGTCTACTAGAGTTAAGAACCCTCTTCACCTTATAGTCGAACACAACCGGAGAAGGATAGCGGATAGCAAGTTTTTGAGTTGCAGATGTGATTGAGAAAAACCTGCGAATCAAATTTACCAAACAAGAAATATCTCCTCATAATGTATAAGCAAAAACATAAGTCTCGTTCTCAATCTATGTTTTGATTCGATACTAATTTATGAAAATGATGGTCGCATGCCCAAAATAGGTGTGAAAGCAATACAAAAGGCCATTGCCGGGTGTGGGCCCCCTTTAAACGTGTCGAATCGCCTCGGAAGCTCTACTTCCACTAGTTCAACTTTCTTCATGCGATGTTCGCAATGGCGCCGAACTTAGCTTCTATCGTGTTCTGCCAGATAGGCCTTTCGCAAACCTATCTCTTACGGCAAAAACAGTCCAGTATTTGGATCAAACATTCGGAATACACAATGTTGGATGTTTTCCTTTAAGAGCGAACTATATATTTCCAAATTAGGACTGCTATTCTTAAAAAAGGAGAAATTTCCAATCCTAGAAGGTTTACGAGCTAAACCATTCAGAGCAAATTTATATAGGTGTTGAGCTGAATTACATCGATTCAAAATTCTCAATTAACCAAAAATCAAGCCCATAGAAGCGAAAGCGTTGACAGCATAAAATGAGCTCTTTTCCCGTATTGAC